TGTTGTGGATTTCATTGACAGATGAAGCCATGTTCTGGTTTGACCACCACTGTCTCTTTTTCCAACCTGATTCTGTGTCAGCTGACATTTCCCACCGTCTATGAAGGACATGGCTAGGCGTACGCAACACATGTCCTAACCACTTCAATCGATGTAACTTCACAACATTGTCAACTGATTTCCCTTCCTTACCTAACACTCGACCGATGCATAACCTCAATAATGCTCAGCCTCTTACACCATTTCACACGGGAGACAGAGCGAAGGCACATACGAACAAAGACAGCTAGCTGGTCTTTTCAAGTCTTCTACTCGTAATGACCATTGTTCACTCACAGCCATAAATGAGGACAGAGCGGACTGCCGAGCAGTACACACTCTCTCTGGTCGACAGCCGGGTGGATATCGTGCCTGCACCAGAGACGGAGAAAAGCGGCATATGCAAAACAAGCCTTCTGTATTCATGCTTAGATTTTGTCAGTGAGCAATCCATTGGCGTTGGCTGATGCAACTTTGAGGTCGTTGGAAAAGGTGCAGCCTTGGCAATCCTTACGAAGAAACCTAAAATTGGTATTCAGAAATGTTTCATCCAGCCTCTTTTACTTCCATGGCCTTAGTACTATTTTCTTCTTTCTTTGTATTCCTGATTAACTAACTGTAAAAATAGTTATTACTGATACAGTTTGATTTGATTTGTCAATAACTGACAATAACCTTTGAAAGAAGAGAACACGAAGTTCAGCAAAGATATCTTTTCGGCGATTTCATTCTCAAAAGCTGTAAAAAAGGCATTTATATAGATTATTTTAACATGGATAGAATTATTATTTGTTTAATTTCACATAGTAACGAAGGTGATAATAATTTTCAACTTGATATGATAGTTTGAAGGTACGAATATAGATTACAAGAGGCTTAGAGACAAGATTTCATAGGATTAGAAAATAGTTACAACGTATGCAAAAAATTAATATTTGATAACTGGAGAAATAATTTTAAAGGCGAATCGAAGGTGATAATTATTTTCGACTTGATATGAATTACAAGAGGTTTAGAAACGCAGGTGTGAACAAAATGAGCATGGAAACGAATTGAAACCAAAATTTTCAACTTGACATGTTAGTTAGGAAGTATGAATATAGATTACAAGAGGCATAGAAACAAAAACAAACAAACAAGAACTTAAAAAGAGCAAGGACCCTTCGACAGTGAAGGAACTCAACGGGTTTCTACGTTACTCTGTCAAACTTGCCGAAGTTAATGCAAAATTGGTATTTCTCGAGAGCTGTATTACTAATCGTGAATATCCAAAATGGTTCTGGAAAGCGCTGCGGAGACATCATATATATCCTAATTCAAAAACTCTTCAACGTCACACCAGAAACGTCATCGATTCTATAAGTTCACGTATTTTTGAATTGCAAAGAAACATATCACAGCGATCTACCGCTCTTTGTGAATTATCTTCAGATGAGAGACAATCGTTCGATGAATACCTTACTCTGGTGCAGAACAGAAGAGCGGAATATGTTAAATCAGATCTAAACAAAAGCCTGAAGCCCGTGGAAGTCCAGAATAAATTCCCCAGCGATCCTAATAAATTTGTTTTCAATCACTCTTCAGTTCCGTTATCAAAGGTACAACTAGAAGCTTTATCTCTTGGACTAAAATTCTGTGATGTTAATCTTAACAGCAACAGACTTCATACGTATATTCAATTCGAGAACCTCATAAGCCAAACTCATGATATTACTCCAGTCTCTGACGCAGATTTTCTACACTTTAAGTCAACAATCTTCGATTGCTGTAATCAATATCTTAGCCTAAAATCTCAAGCCCGACGTCTACTGACAAAAGAACATAGAAAACAACTCAAAGAATTAAGAGACAATAAAGATTTAATAATAACACGTCCTGACAAAGGATCAGGAGTGGTCCTAATGGACAGAGATGTATATATTAACAAACTGACAACACTTATATCAGATGACAAGAAATTTGCCAAGCCCGACAATGAGAAAAACAAGACAGAACTGATTGAAAGACAACTAACAGATGTTCTCAGAAGAATGAAGAACGATCGTCTGATATCTGAAGACCTGTTTGACCGCCTCAAACCGACAGGATCAACTATTCCCCGACTCTACGGCTTACCAAAGGTGCACAAACCTGGCTTGCCGCTTCGACCGATTCTAGACATGTCAGGGTCACCATACCATCCAATCGCCAAATGGTTGTCCGAAATGTTGGAGCCGGTAAGACAACACCTATGCAAATACTCTCTTCGTGATACTTTTGAGTTCATCGAATGCATAAAAGATTTGAATGTAAATGATAAACGAATGCTATCACTAGATGTTGAATCTCTTTTTACCAACGTGCCACTAACAGAAACAATTTGCTTTCTGTGCAATTATATGGAGAAATCTAATATAAACGTCGGAGTACCAATATCATATCTGAAGGAATTGTTGCTGAGATGCACGCTGAATGTACAATTCACCTTCAACGGCGACATCTACAGACAGAAAGATGGAATTGCAATGGGATCTCCTCTTGGCCCGCTTTTAGCAGACTGCTTTATGGCCAGTTTGGAGAGTGGAGTTTTAAAATCAACAATAAACAAATTAATACTATACAAAAGGTACGTTGACGATACCTTTATAGTCTGCTACGAGAACTCGGACTTCAACTGCATCTTACAAGAATTCAATAATTCCCATCCTTCGATTAAATTCACAATGGAGTTAGAAAGCGATTCAAAGATTCCATTTCTGGACGTGGAATTGACAAGAAGAGATGATGGAACCCTGAAGAGGTCCATCCACAGAAAACCGACATGGAATGGCCAACTAACGCATTTCTATAGTTGGATACCTCTGAGCCGAAAACGAGCCCTCATCAGCGCACTAACCCATCGCGTTAGAAAAATCTGCAGCAACGATTGCATGGAAGAGGAGCTCCTATTCCTCAAAAATATCCTGGCTCAAAATGGCTACCCGACACGTTTTGTCGAAAAGAACATGAAACCTAAACCTAAAAGAGAAGAATGCGATTCAGCGCCAAAGAAAACGCTGTATCTAAATCTGAATTTCAAGGGAGATTTGGCAGCTGATATCCTGAAGAGGAGAATATCCAGCTCTCTAAAGAAGACCTTCCCTGCAGCAACACTAAGAGTGACATTCTCTAGCCGCCCAATACTTCGAAACAACACGAAGGACAAACTTTCGCATATGACCAATTCAATGTGCATATACCAGTTCACTTGCTCGTGCGGAGCTAGGTACATAGGTCGTTGTATGCGCGTCCTCTCAAAACGTGTTAGAGAACACTACCCAGCGTGGCTGCAAAGAGGAGGCACCGGTTCAATCAGAAGTGCCATTATTGAACATCTGGTCAACACCTCCCACAAAATCTCAACCGATTCTTTCAAAGTGATTTACAAAGTCAACAGAAACCTACCAAAAGCAATATGTTTCCGACTTCTTTGTACTGCAGAAGCCCTCGCAATATGCATCGAGAAGCCGGAGCTGTGTGTTCAAAAGAAGTTAGTCCAACCTCTACAACTACCATGGACCTAGCTTGGTATGTTCCCTTTGTTTCCGTCTTTTTTTTCTCTTCCTCGTCTGTTTTCGTTCTTGTTTTTTCCTTTAGAGCATTTTTCGTTCGCTGTGTGTCTGATTCTTAGTCCCTCAATCTTCGTTTAATCCACCTAATTTTTTTTTCAGCTATAAAAACAGTTATTTTAAGTTTGTTTCCATGCTTTCCCTGTTCACATTTATAATTCGTTTGAAATAACTATTTTACAATTATATCTTAATATTGTGCAATTTTTGTGTTTCTAAGGCTTTTGTAATCTATATTCACACGTCCTAACTTTCATTTCAGGCTCAAATTATTTTTTCAGTTAAAAAAACTAGTTATTTTAATTTTGTTTCCATACTCCTCCTGATCACACTTGTAATCCGTTTAAAATAACCATTCTACAATTATATTCTAATCCTGTGTAATTTTTTGTTTCTATGCCTCTTGTAATCTATATTCATACTTCCTAACTAACATGTCAAGTTGAAAATTTTGATTTCAATTCGTTTCCATGCTCATTTTGTTCACACCTGTAGTTCGTCCTATCCCTGCGTTTCTAAACCTCTTGTAATTCATATCAAGTCGAAAATAATTATCACCTTCGATTCGCCTTTAAAATTATTTCTCCAGTTATCAAATATTAATTTTTTGCATACGTTGTAACTATTTTCTAATCCTATGAAATCTTGTCTCTAAGCCTCTTGTAATCTATATTCGTACCTTCAAACTATCATATCAAGTTGAAAATTATTATCACCTTCGTTACTATGTGAAATTAAACAAATAATAATTCTATCCATGTTAAAATAATCTATATAAATGCCTTTTTACAGCTTTTGAGAATGAAATCGCCGAAAAGATATCTTTGCTGAACTTCGTGTTCTCTTTTTTCTAATGTTTATATGGGTATTTTCCAATAACCTTTGACCCCACCGTATATATAACCACCCACCACCTGAACAAATGTACAGTTTTGAATTGTATGGTTTTATTGATAGATATCCGGTAATACAAGCCAATTACTTAACTGTATTGGTATTCTTGTCGTATAAATCTGTTGAATGCTATGGCAGCATACCAATGATGGTAGAAAGCTCACTGACCAAGCACGAAGGCGGCCAAGATCAATCCCTAGTCGCAAAACACTCTTACACCTCTCCTAACCAGCAAGGGGTATGTAAAAGAGGAGACGTTGAACGTCAGGCTAGCAACCCTATCCTGTAAAGAAACAACACAACAACAGCTACTGAAACCCCACAGCCTAAAGTCTGAAGCTCCGTGTTTCACTCACAATGCAAAGGATATAAGAGAAACTTATCTATCTAAATAATAATTTTATTTATTATTGTACATTACGGGGTTATACTTTGTTTTTGTTTTTTTTTTTTGTTTTTTCGCTGTCTATTTACAAAAAGGTTCGAGTTATGATATGCATAAGTTGGATATTCCCAGCAGCTTTATTCACACCCGTCATTTTTGGTTGGTCCTATTTAACTGGAGAACCAGAACGTGAAATTTTCAAATGTGAAGTCTCTTTCACCTATCATCCAGTCTTCAATACAACATTGACGATAGGCTATTTTTGGACTACACTAGTGGTCATGTGTAGTCTATACGTTGGTATCTATAATGTAGCACGTCGGTTACAAGCAAAATCCATAGATAATAATAAACGTTTAACACAATTTTTATCAAAAATTGATAATAAACAAATGTTAACACAACAAAATACATCAAATAATACAAATTCACTCGAAGACGATGATGCTAATGATAATGATGATGACAATGTCGAGAAGGTGAAGAAGATACACAAAATAATAATCGATTATCAAATCCTCAGTGTTTCAATTCAAATTGTTTAAATAAGTATCCAACGAATTCAAATAATAATGTGGCGGGATATTTAACAAATCAAACTTATTGTTTGAATAAAACAACAAAAGATATGTTCAAGGAGTCCAATGAATTCGTTGACTGTAATTTTATGAATAAATCTGATAAAATAGATGGAACAGATAAAATTCAACTGTAAGTTGTACAACATTATTGATTTATCGAGTTATTTGATTTCAGTAACTTTTAATTACATAGCTTTTATATTTTCACTAACTAAAGACACCTATTATAAACTTTAAAAGACTTATTGGTGAACAAAGAATGTTCCTTTCGATAATTTCTTCATCAGGTTCTGCAGTTATATATTCATAATGGTTAACGAACCATTTCTATTGACAATATTTATGTTTTTTAAATAACATGGAGTCGATAAGATGGATAGATTACAGATCGAGAGCATCCGTAAGTCATAATATACATTAATATAATTCTAAACTGAATGCCAGATAAATCAGAAGGTCAGAGTAGCAACAGTGGCTCGATCTATTTCTTCTACACGTAGAGTTCTGGTTGTTTTAAGCAAATTGCTCAATGGCTATTGCTGTTTGCAGTTTTCGGTATCTAGAGGCTTTTGGCAATTTATTTAGTACCCAATAGATGATGAAAAAGGACTCTTCAAATATGGCTTTATCGCCTATATGGACAAATTGGTCTAATATCGAACTATTGATGTTTTTTATTGCACCTTTATTTGTTTTTACGAGTTGATCACGGATTGATGTCAGTTAGAGAACCTTTGAAAACACCGGGAGTATTGTTTATTCCAAGTTTGGGAATCTTCGGCAGTATGCAATCATCTCCAGGGTTAGAACCGAGGACTTTCGGTGGTGGGTGCGTAATGTAAATAATGAAGGTAATAGGGAATTCAAAGCCTCTATAGCAAATCTATGTGAAGAAAGAACACCACAGACTCTATGGAGGATTCTTAATAAGAGTGTAATTAGTAAGCGTGGCATTGAAACCAACCAACCAACTCACTTACAAACCTTGTCGTGTTAAAAGAGCATGTAATAACTCCAATTAGGAAAAATAATATCTGTATCACCAAATACTATGTAATGACTGTGAGGTCAATTATTATTATTATTCCTACTGGAAAATAGGGAGGGCTTCAACAATATATCTCCACTTTGTCTTGCCTTCTGTCCTCCTCTTCATCTGGTTACACGATGGCTCAAACTCTCTCATTTCTATTCAAGTGTTGGTTTGTAGGGATTTGATTGGTTTCAGGATTTCATCATGAGCTGACATTAGTTAGAGAACCATTGGAAAACCTGGGAGTACTGGACAGCTGTTTCGTCCTAGTTTGGGACTCTTCAGCAGTACGCACCCACCGGGATTCGAACCCAGGACCTTCCGGTTACAAGGCGACCTCGTATACCATTAGGCCACTGGGACCCGATCCAATGGCCCTTGAATTCTAACTTCTGCCAATTCACGACATAGCGCGACCGCTAGCCAATGTCTTCGGCGAGTATTTGTCCTCACACCCGACCAGCTGCACCCTACTGGTCACGACTTCTCTCTCATTTCTTCCTCATACAGTCTCCTCCATGTCACCTTAGCACTCGTTGCTTCCCGTTTGGATTCCACTCGACGAGGTGACCTCTTCAATGCATGCCCGATCGATCTCCATTGTTGAGCCATGCCTCTTAGTTGGTTTGTTCCCAGCTAGAGTTTCTTGTTGCTAATTCTTTCTGGCCATCCGGCCATTTGATCTTCAGCATGGAGTGGACGAAGGCAGCTCTTGATGGAAGTCAACAACTGGCTGTTGTGAATTCTTTTTTATGTTACACACTGGCCAGTTTCTAACCCATATAGAAGGACCAACTTGACGTTGGTGTTGAAAATGAGAATCTTGTTCTTTACGCTAATTGAGTGTAAGAGATTCCCAAACTGGTTTCACATTGATAAAGGAGTAACCTTGCCTTTCCTATTCTGGGTGACTGTCTTTGACATTTTCATCCGTTCTGACTGTTTGTAGTTGAAACGAGATGCTTCCTAGATAGGCGAAGGAAGCAATTAACCTCTGTTAAATCTCCCCCCCCCACTTGATGGTGATTGCTACTGGTTTTTTTTTGCTATTCGTTGGTCTGTTAGTCGATTTTACCACCGCCCATCTTCTGTGTTTTCACCTGGAGTTCTGTCTTCACTGGCTGCTTCTTCAGTCAGTTTGTTGGTTTTCGCCTGTAGGTCTTCGAGTTTGTATGACATTAAACATAAATCATCCACGAAATCTAGATCTTTCAAAGTCTTCTTATCAGTCCAGCGTATTCATGTCTTCTAGATCACAACGCACAGTGGTCTCCATAATCCAGTCCATCACAATTAAGAATATATAATCGGTGATAATAGGCAGTCAGCGTTGTCTTACTCCTGCATTCACTTCGAACACCTCACTGAGTTCACCTTGTGGTGAGAGCAGGCCGTGAGAAAATATGAGCAAGGCTGATTCAACAACCAATCACAGCAAGTTAACGTGGCAAAATATGATTCGCAGATAGAGAACTCCATTTGTCGAGGAATCCCGAAACAACCAATCAGAAGCCTGCGTTTGTCTGCCTAACTTCTGATAAACAACCAATCAGATGACTGCGCTTGTCTACTTGCATAAGCTATAATAATGTATGTGAAATATGTATAAATACGTGTTGATTTTCATAATAAAACGATCTGTTGCCTGGCCCTTGTCTTCTGTTGTTACAACCTGACTTGTTACATTGTCATATAGCTGCTGAATAAGGTTGATAAAGACTTTGGCACTTAACGCCGTAGTGTTGAAGCAGTTTCAAATTACTTCTCCGTCAACGCTGTCTGTCGAAGGCCTTTTCGATGTCAATGAATTTGTTGAGGTACAAGTTTGACAGCGATTCTATGCTTTGTTCGATGATGATGATGCAGAGAGTTGCAATTTGATCAGTATAATGATTTGCCTTTCCTGAATCTACCTTGTTCTGGTGGGTGGCGGAGTTCTGTATCCATGCATCCTTTATTCTCTCCAGGATGATGTGACTTGGTATTTTACTTGGCGTGGACAAGAGCATGATCCTGCGCCACATTTAGTACAGGCCTAAGACGCCCTTCTTTGCAGCTTGACGTGGTAGCCAGTCTTTATTCCAATCGGATGATACCCTACCTTCTTCCCAAACCTTCCGCAATAATGGCGTGAACACATCTGCCGCACTCTTTGAGTCCGTTTTTAGTGCTTCGGGGTGGGGAAATTCCGCCCGGTCCTGCTGCTTACCAGGACTTCAGTAGCTTGATCGCATTTAGGATTTTTGATTTCGTTGGAGATCGGTGTTAGTTAGATCATTAGAACATAGAAGTTTACCAAGAGGTAGAATGATTGACTCCGCTAAGATAAACAATCTGAAATTCATTCACTTGTATGCAATCACACAATTGATTAGGATAGTGTAAAATACATTAGAAAGTAATATTGTTAGAATAAAAGTAACAGAAAGGGAGACAGGTTATTCACCGAATCTTTGCTCAGCAAATCGACACCAAAGACTCGCAATCGAATCAACGCAACGCCTATACTGCATATATGGAAAATTACAATAAGCAACAAAGGGAAGAGAGCATATACATCCAGATGTCACGTGTGAGGATGGATTTCTCACCGACGACATTGTTTGAAGTCGCACTAAATCACAAATTCGTAGAAGTTAGAATTCATTAGCCATTGAATTGGTCCTGGTGGCTGAATAGTATATGAGCTTGCCTTGTACCGGAAGGTGCTGGGTTCGAACCTTGGCGTTGGATGGGTACTGCCGGTGATTCCCAAACTAGGTTGATGAATCAGCTGTCTGGCAGTACTCCAATGCCAAAAACAAAACTAAACCTTACAAACCAAACTATTGGGAAACATATCTATAAAACAAATTTTGAAGCCGTTTGGATACATCGATACGATTATGACCAGTAATAAATTGTGCTCAACATCATCCAGTTATTAATAATATATCACTGACTGTGTGTTATCTCAAATAAATTTATCTAACATAAAAATAGTATGACCGCATATCGTTTATTCAGAACTATATATAATTCATTAGGGAGTAAGTTCAAGAGCTATTGAGAATAGTTAATGTCTTCTCGCTGACCAACTTAAATTCACCTTTTAATCTTCATTAACAACAAAAGTATTTCAAGTTCTGTCACAAAGTGATATCAGTTAGAGAACCTTTGGAAAACCTAAGAATACTAGACAGCTGCTTTGTCCTAGTTTGGAAGTGGGATTTGGTCCCAGTGGCTAAAAAGCCTACGACCTGGCGCTGCAGCCAGAAGATCCTGGAGCCCAAAAAGCTTGGGTGAGTAGAACAGAAAAGTTTCAAACTGATGGTACGAAACGGCTGTCCAGGTCTCTACAAATGCTACACATTTTAATATATGTGAAAAACTTAGGCACTGCGGTAGTAAGTAATTCATATTAGTTTGTGTATTAGATGTATCACACAGTGAAGAAACAGTATCATATACTGGATGATGTTTCCAACTAAATTTATTGCGGTTCATAATCATATCAATTACAATCACACAACTTCGAAACTTGAGTTTTATGGTTTTCTTTGTTCTCTTCTATTTGTCGTCGTAGGGGTAGTAGAATTTTCCTGATATCTGGCAGGACAGGTGTTAAATCATCCCTATTACATGTATTTGTAGTTGATTCGGAAAACAATTCTTCTGTTGTCAATCTCTCCCTCCACCTTGTGACATCAGATTTTAAAATTGTCATCTTGTCCCATCATCCTATTGTATGGTTGTGTATAATTGCTTGTGGTGTAGTGCTATAGCTGAACTATTCTCTAGATTTCTTATCTTATTTGGTCAACCAATCTAGACTTTACTAGGTTTTTATGCTCGGCTAGTCTGACTGCCACCGTTCTACTAGTTTGACCTATGTATTTGACCTGACAATCATCTCAGGTAGGATATTAGATAAACTCAATTGTTCTGTTTTGAAGGCTCCACAGGATCCTCTAACCAACAAAGCTTGTTTCTAATTGAGTTTCTAGGTTTGAATACCGGCCACTTTTATTCCTGCCTTTTAAGGAATTCTGCATAATTTGGTTTCCGAGGTTCCCTCTTTGTATGAAAGCACTACTGATGATTTAGTGCGTCGGTGGCACAGTGATTAGGACTCTCACCGACCATGCACATGGTCCGAGGTTCGATCCCCTGCCGAAGAACACCTGATATCTATGGTCGGCCTGCAAAATTTGGGCTACCGATATCCATGCTGAAAATTCCATACTTGTACCAAAAATACAGTGTGGAATCAAGCTGTAATCAAAAAATATATATATAAAATATTTTCCTCATCACATGCTCTCCTCTATCTCATCCTCGAAACGATACCTAACCTTTCGCTTTCCCTTCAGATTTCCCTTGACAGTCTAACGTATGATTTCATGTGAAGATCTCCTCCTACGCGTATTTTCAATCTATCTCCAGTCCACTGTCTATCAGAGTTAATTTTTGCTTGTCTTTTTCAACTGGCCATGTAATCTTCAGTAGTGTGACAGTGAAGGAGACAAACTATTGTTGAAAGTCTCCAGTAAGGCTGTTCGAAATGCTTTTCCTGACCTATTTAACCATGTCTCTGAACTAATATAAAAGCACAGACTAATTTCCTCGTGTGTTTATCACTTTTCTGCAGATATTCCTTGACAACAGTTAGTCAGTATCAACGTACATCACCGAAAAACTTGAAACATCATCATCACATTGGTGGTGAAAGTGGATCTGCTTCACAACAAAGTGATCAACTTCAATGCGGTCACTTTCAATATGAAAATAAAACTTCTAATGATTGTTCAGTCTATCATAATAGTGATAGTATCCTGAATACATCTCAGACACATCAAACTAGTATATCGACAACAGCAACAGCAACAACTGCTCATGAGGACAAACAGGTGGATGCGCATAGAAAAGACTCTTCATCATCAATAAATGATGAAATTTTCTTCCTACCGTCTGTCAACTTTTATATACCATCACCAAAAGTTTCAACGCCTTCAACAATTCAAAGTGAACAGTCGCTATCACCGAAATATACCTATTCTGAGAATAATTCACCTGTATGGATTAGAAAAAAGGATAATTGTTATGATTCTGGTTTAAATTTATACGAATGTGATCTTTGTCCACAAGTATTGAAATGTCAACAGTTTATAAGTGATAAAAATTCCTGTGAAAATGGTGTATACTACTATTTATCTGATTCACCATCATGGGATCAATGTCCGCCGACATGTTGTTTAACTGATAAAGTAAGTCCGGAGTTTATTATCCTTCAATAATCATAAATTCATATATTATATGTATAAAAATGCAATAATAATTCGTGTAGTTCGACGGTTAAATCCTTGGCAACTGCACCTCATGTAGTTCAGGGTTTGATTCTCAGTCAACGCGCTCTTAAACCTTCCTAAGCCGTTGATGAACCAAGCAAAGAGAGAAGGTTTGGCTTCAGGCTACTAACTCCACTCCTTAAGACAACACCATTGCTACTGAAACTTCAAGAGTCAAACTTTTAACCTTAGGTTCCAGTCGAAACGGGAAGGGATTTAGGAAATGGAATATCAGAAATAAAATTAAGAAAATTTATGTGACAATTAAAACTGAATGTACGTGTGGCCATACATACATATGGAGAGGACTTATCTATCTCTGCAAGTAAGGGCTGGCTTCAGAGCATAGTCCTAAATGGTTCCAGAAACAAATGGAATCCCCAGAACCCAATACTGGTGAGAACAGACAACCTAGCTCCTCTACTGCGAAACATATTATAGAGACAGGACATAAAATTGGTGTTCATACATCTTTTAAACCTATCTAAAAAACGTGTTTGGGTTGTATCCTAAAGTTTATGGAGGCCCAAGCTGGCAATAAGGAAGTGTAAACCACTTTTATACTTTCCAAAACAATTCGTCATCACACAAAGCCTTCCTTGGTAAACTTTTTTTTTTATACTAGCCAGGACAGATGTACTATAACAATACTACTATTGTTTGAAATGTGTTGGGCATATACATTACACGATTCGGAGAAATTAATTCATTTTATGCATACCTTTGTTATTTTAATTTTGATTATTTTTTCCGAAAGAAGTTCGTACCAGTTTACCGAACGAAACGTTGAAATTACTTACTTTAGTTTCTCTGAGATATGTACAAACATAATTTTTATAAATGTTTACTTTCTACTCGCTGTCCAATCTTTTGTGGAAATATATAAGCAAATGTTGACCAGAGTTTGCATAAAGTCACCTGTATTACTTATTAGTAGTATATAGTATGGATCTAAAATCCAAAGGAAACTGCCTTAAGAAATCAATATAGATTAGTTGAGTTAAACAATTAACGTCTGGTATATGGACATTTAACCACCACACTATGAAGGAAATTAAAAGAAGTTAACTACATGGGTGAGAGGTAATGTACTCTACAGTGAGAACTTATTGACTTTCTTCTAGATTCTTTATATAGTGAATGATGTGCACTGCTGAAGAGTCACAACCAGGGATGAAACTTCAGATGGTTGTGTCTTCACTTAATAAAGTCCCTTTGACATTGTTCCAATTTTAACCGGGTGGGCTTACTCACCTCACCTCCAACCTTTCCTCTTTACTGGGCTTGCTACGTTTAGGAGTGAATCAGCAGTGAATTACAGCCCAGATATGATAGAGAAGATTTGTAGCTCAGGAGGATGATTTTGATGTGGTTGTGTTCTCTGAGCTGGATGGTTAATTTACGAAGCTTTCATCACCTTACTGGGTGACATCTTCAGCTCATACTTCAATTTGAAGTGAGCTTTTAGATTTCTGCACGATTTTATCAATCATCTCTCCCGGTGACCACCTTGAACGTGATTGATTGTTTTTGTGTGTTTTCACACTCTCTAGGCAGCTACTTGTATTGGAACTGATTGTTTCTTTGACTTGAACTTTGACCTTTTGTGTGGGGTTTCTCCTAAAAATTCTCTAGCATTCTTGTTGTTTCCTCTGTCTAATATGTGAACGTTGTCCCAGTCGAATTGATGTCCGTGGTTGTCTGTATGTAGTGAAATGAGGGAGTGGATATCATGTCTTTTGACGGCTAGCTTATGTTCATGGATACGAAGACGAAGGGGACGTCCACTTCGCAGTTGTTACAATTTATTTTGTAGATGATGTTGGTTTTGTCTTCTTTCGCTGTTGAGTCTTTTGGTTGACATATAATTGAGTGAAGCAACTTTGTTGGTTTGTGTACGACGTCAATTCCTAGAGGTTTGAAGAGTCTTGTAGTGATTTCTGAGATATCCTTTATATATGGTAAGGCGATCGCCGATAAGAAAGAAACTTCACACACAAAGGGTCAAAGTTCAAGTCAAAGAAATAATCAGCTCCAATACAAGTAGCTGCCTAGAGAGTGTGAAAACACACAAAAACAATCAATCACGTTCAAGGTGGTCACCGGGAGAGATGATTGATAAAATCGTGGAGAAATCTAAAAGCTCACTTCAAATTGAAGTATGAGCTGAAGATGTCACCCAGTAAGGTGATGAAAGCTTCGTAAATTAACCATCCAGCTCAGAGAACACAACCACATCAGAATCACAGCCTGAACCACGTACATGTTTGACCCACCGGTGGTTCAGTGTGTGTCTGAAATCAGTCAATTACTAACAAATCTTCATGTAAAGGTTTTATTTCTGTACTCATTACTCTAGTCATTTTTTATTCTCGTTTTTCTATTAAACAATTATAGTGTGAATATTCTGAGTATACGACATCCAGTGGAAATATGAGCTCAATGTATAATAACCAGTTAACTAATACCAACTGTTGGTACAGACGATTCGTGCATAGATTGAATAAACCAAATAATATGCTTATCAAATCCGCGTGTACACTAAGTAAGCAACAGTCACCTTCATCATTGTGTAAATCCTGTGATGACAAACCTTATCCGTGTGGACTACAAAATAATTATAACAATAATCAAGATATCTGTCCATGTCATTACTACAGTAGTAATAATAATAATAGTAAGAATTTTATTCAACAACACCGTGAATCACAAATAAGTGTAGAACCAACTAAACCTCAGTCGAAATGTTTGTGTTGTATTCTGCCGCCAAAACAAATCAACACTGATTTAAGCAATAATCACCCTCAAGGTCAAACCAGTATAAGTAATAGTCAAATTCAAAGTCCAAATAATAGTGATGATTATATGAATGCACAAAATGGCCAACAAAAGAGCAAATCTAATAAACTATCTTTAAAATATAAACAAAAGCAACAAAGATTTAATTCACAACAACAACAACAATACGGAAAGTCATCACCACCAACAACAGCAACAACAAAACCTGGTAAACGGCAGACAAGTCTTTCAATATTTCAATCTTTATCAAATATTGATGCACAAAATCGTAAACATGCACGTAAAGCATTGAAAACAATTAGTTTTATTTTGGGAGCATTTATGTTCTGTTGGACACCATATCATGTTATTGTATTGATTAAAGGTTTTTGTGATGATTTAACTACGCATAGAAGTTGTGTGAATATACACTTATATAATTTATCCTACTGGTTATGTTATATGAATTCACCAATTAATCCATTTTGTTATGCATTATCAAATATATCATTTAGGAGAACATTTTTTCGAATATTACGATGTGATTTTCAAAAAAGATGAAGGCTTGATCAGTATTACTATTATCTTTTTCCCGCCATTTTTAGTTATCGACTCTGTGAATATATTGATTTTACATTTAATACCTATTGTACATTGAACGTATATATATATATATATATTGATTGTATGTAAATTATTGTAATTAAAAATATACTTAATTCTCTTAAACTTGTTAATAAGGAAGTATACATTCAAATACACACCATGATTCACTAAAAATGTCTGATATTATGTAGTGTATCGCTGAAATGATCAAATTCACTGCGGTTATTATTATGTTTGCGGTATGTTTGAATTCTAATTCATTTGGATAGTGTTATGTAAGAAGACAGAGTTCATTTGAGAAATTTGTTGTCGTGTATTAACGTAATACATTTCGAAAAATTTGATCACATATCTATACTTGTCGGAGTAATTGATATAAAAAATGAAAGGCCAATTAAAGTAAAAAAAAAAAGATGATGATAAGAGACTTCGGATTTTATTACTATTCCCTTGGGTACCAGGTGGAACATAGGGCTTCAACAACACATCTTCACTCTGTTCTTTGTGGTGCTCTTATCTTGTCATCGCACGATCTTTTCCATGTTACACTTGGAAGATCCAATCGGTAATTCCCATTGAGATTCAACTCGAGCAATGGTCTGCAGTGTGCAAGAAGTCACTCGATAGCCTCCTCAGTCTATGCCTAATCAATCTCTATTTTCTCCTACAAATTTATTGAGCAGTCAGCTGTTGCCTGTTGGTTTCTTCATCGTCAGAGTTTCTTCTTGCTAATTTTTTTCTCGCCGGTTGGCCGTTTGATCTTCATTATGGAGCCAGCGAAGTGGGCGGCTGTTGATAAAAGTATGTAGAGCTACCTGTTGGAATCCTTTTTGTGACAGGCTGGCCAAGTTTATGACCCATATAGAAGGACCGACTTGACATTGGCGTTGAAAATCTAAATCTTGTTCTTTATGCTGGTCTAGTACAGAAGACTTCCAAACTGGTTTCAGGTTGATGAAGGCGTATCTTACACCTTTCCAATTCTGGCTGGTTAGCGTTGACATCTTCATCCGTTCCACCTGCCTTTGGTTGGAACAATGTTTCCTAGATAAGTGAAGCGGGGAACCTCTGTCAAATCTCTCCCGTTGATGGTGATTGGTGCTGGTTTTTTGTTGCTTTTAGTTGGTCGGTTGGTTAATCTTCATCACCTCTGTCTTCTCTACATTCACCTGAACTCACTGGCTGCTATTTTAGTTAGTTTTTGATTTTCGCTGTAAGTCTTAGAGTTTGTTTGACATTAGACATATATCATCTGTGAAATCTAGATCTTCCAAAGTCTTCTCATTGGTGGTAGTCCAGCGTACTCCTGTCTCCTCGCTCCCATGCACAGTTTGACGTATAATCTAGTCCACCACAATTAAGAATATCATCGGTGATAATAGGCAACCAGCTTTATCTTACTCCTGTATTCACTTCGAACGCTTCTCACTGAGTTTTCCTTTGTGGATCACCTGGCACGTGGCATTGTCATTTAGCCAGCTGTTTGTCAAAGGTAGTTTCAACGTTTACAAAATTGAGTTAGAGATTTGACGATTGTTGTAATCTCATCAATACATGATTTGCCTTTCTTGAATCCAGCTTGTTCCGGACTGGCGGAGTTTTGCATTCAGTGCACTTTTACTCATGAATTTGAAGGATAATAATTACCAACGACTCTTATTAAAAGTCACTCTGAATATTCTATTCAATAAGTGACCTTCTTCAAGTTCTTACAATTATAAAATATGATATTTATCGTTTCACTAATAGCCAGGTATGATGAGTCTTATATATTTTTACGTAGGATAACAGATTAGTAGTTATAGGTTGACAAAATAAATTTGTGTATTTGTGTCAATTTATGCAGCTCAATGCACTTTCAAAATATTTTGAAATGTAAGACGGTGACGGTGATTCATTAGATCCATGCAATGTGAGAAAGGAAAATTGACAGGCCATCAGTTTTCAGGAGAATACGGGATATGTCATGGGTGCTCGATCGCGAAGCTTCAGCTAAACAAGTTGACTTAAACATTGAAGGTCAGGATCCATTGTCTAGTCTGTCTGTCTGTCTGTTTTCGACATAGAACTTTGCACCGATGTGCACCAGTTCAAGTCACCACACTATCTCCATACAGCACACAAATCAAGAGAAAGTAGAAGAAATGCATAATAGAGACAGTAAACAGAGGCGTGAGACAAAGGAAGATTAATAACGAAGAACAATATAGTTTCATTTTAAATCATAAGTCACAAGGGTGGATGCATCTAAGCCATCACTGGGAACGATTTTGAGCCATATCACCATGAATTGTCGCCAGCCTTCATTGGTTTTTACTGTCCCGAGGACCCCAACCAGTCAGTCGGGCAGTCTACACCTTCCTACGTGGCCAGCTTAAACTAACTGTTGTGGATTTCATTGACTGATGAAGCCATGTTTTGCTTTGACTACCATTCACTAGCTATTTTTCAGTCTGATCCTACGTCAGCTAACATTGCCCCTCAGTCGAGGAAGGCGATGACTAGGCTGGGCACACGTAACACATGTCCTAACCAGCTTAGTCGATGTAATTTCACAGCCTCGTCGATTGATTTCCCCTCCCACCTATCTAGCACTCGACCGACGCCTAACCTCAATACTGCTCACCTTATTATACCACTTCACACGGGAGGGAGATAGAATGCAGGCACCTATGATCAAAGACAGCTAGTCGGCCTTTTCATGTCTTACACTTTCAATGGCCAGGTCTCCCAGCCAGTCATGAAGGAGGACGGAGCGGGCTGATGAGCAATACACACGCCCTTTTTTCTGCAGCCGGTGGGATATCACGTCTTCGCCACAGACGGCGTAAACTGGCATATGCGAAACGAGCCCCCTGTATCCGTGCTGAGATTTTGTCAGAGATCAACCTGTTGGCGTTGGCTGATGTAACTTCCCAAATAAAAGAAGCGGTCAACGTGATCTACCACTTCCCTTCCTATTTATAAACTAGGAGTCAGTGTAGTCGATTGTTTAGTAAGGGATGCCGTAGGCTAATAATTTTGGGGGATTATTTACCGCAACAAGTTCAAGGTTGTAAAAGGTGTCTGATGAGTGGCTAGTACGAAAAATAGTATTCACTAAGGAAGAGATAGTGTAACGCTAGAAGACGAAAGACTTGACAAAGGAATGTTTATTTTTGAAAACTGGTATCTCTGTATAGCCAAATTATGTACACCTTATCTTAAACACACAATTTGTCGTACTTCTGGACTTCATAATGTAACAACAGAAGACAAGGGACAGGCAACAGATCGTCTATTAAGGAAATCAGCACGTATTTATACATATTTCATATACATTATTATAGCTTATTCAAGCAGACAAACACAGTCTTCTAATTGGTTGTTTCTTGCTCAAGGTTATTCTGTACTGCTTGTGACTGGTTTCTCAGAAAGTTAAACCATCTATCTGCGAATCATATTTGCCCACGTTAAGTTTGCTGTGACTGGTTGTTGAATCAGTCTTGTTCATATTTACTCACGGCCAATATTAGCGACCTAGACATCGACGTAAATTAATGTCTACCAATTGGCTATCAGTCTGCTCTCACCACAGTAATGTGTTCCTTTGTGTTCCTTTCACATCCCCCATGTATCTCCATAACGCTGTGCCATTTGCCTTCTTTCACATCAAATATATCTCCTTGTTATTTGATATTTTTATGCCGATGAACGTCTCTTTATTATATACTACTGATAAATCCTGTCAGTAGCACTCGCTACAATAGTAAGACTGTGGTAAATAATTCATGATGAAATAATCACCATTGGAAATGAAACAGGTAGAGACGTATATATTGAGAAAAGAAATAATGTCACCAGTAATAAATCAGAGTAGCATAAATGAAAAAAAATTCTATAGTTTGGAAAGAATGCAAGAATGAAGGGTATCAGTTACACAACATTGTGGCTAAAACTGATAAGATAAAGAGAAAAGGAAGAAAATAACAAAGAAATCAAAAAAAGGAAATAAGACGAAAATGCGCCTTTGGAAGGGAGGAGTTTTAATCCAAGTTTGGCTAAAGTAAGAACAACACGCCTGAATATTAAGTTCTGGTTTATTCGATCATATTGCAACAGGGCAGAAGAAGCATCAAAGATAGGACTTCAGGTGAACACAGAGAAAACAGAGGTGATAAAGACTCTTGGCCAACACCAATAGCATCAACAACAACGACAGGCAACTATCAGCCAGCATAAATGGGAGGAACCTGAAAGAAACAACCTCCTTCACTTACCGACCTGGGAAGCATTGTTTCAACTACACGCTGACGGAATTGATGAAGATATCAAAGCAAGAATCGGAAAAGCAAGATAAGCTTTCATTACTCTCAAGTCTATGTGGAGGTCAACAGCAACCAGCATCAAAAATAAGATCCAGATTTTCAATTCCAATGTGAAGTCAGTGCTACTCACTATACGGATGGGTCAGAGACTTGGCGCGTCATAAAGAGCACCTCAAACAAACTTCAGACCTTCATCAACAGCTGTCTTCGCTTAATACTACTCAAGATCAGATGGCTGGCCAGAAAAGATCAGCAATAGGGATCTCTGGGAGCGAACCAACTCAGCAGGAACCGATTGTGCAACAAATAAGCAGGAAGAAATGGAGATGGATTGGCCATACGCTGAGGGAACCATCAAGTGGCATCACTAAACAAGCCATCGCTCGAGTGGAACCCGACAGAATCGGAAGCGGCGAGTTGGTCGTCAGTGCAAGGGTGTCTTGGAGGAGGTCATGTAAAGAGGAGATGAAAGCATGTGGGCGGACTTGGAGCCAGGTGACAACTTTAGCAGAGAACCGAACGCAATGGAGACGCGCGGCTGAAGTCCTATATTCCTCTAGGAATTAAATGAAATAATAATAATAATCGCAACAGCTTCAGTTATATGAAGACGATTTAGGTAAACTGTGTATAATAATGACTTAGGAA